TCCCAAACATCGGTGTCGTTTGCCCACGTGCTGTTACACTTGCAAATTCAATGCGATCTCATAGAGGTGCAAATGTTCATTATTTCCAAAACCAGTCCCAGTAGTGCTGTATAGTCGTTTTCTGGGTGCCTCAACACCACCTTGCAGCACCCTCGCGACGTTCCAAGCATGTCGCAGTCGCAGGTGACGTGGCCTCGCGATATTCCCAGGCAGAGCCCAGGGAATGACTGGGCTGGCGCCGCCGACCCCAGATGGCAGTGGCCCAGACGCACTCCCCCATGCCTGCCCTGCAGCCGGAGCCTTGAGACAGGCTGTGATCTGCGGAAGCAAATACTGCGCATAATTGAAAAATACAACGCTTACCGCGCATGGGGCATCAACAAACATTCGAATATTTAGAGCTTCGACTTCAATCATCACTTGAAGCCAGTTCACTCTTACATGCAGCGTTCGCGGCTCCAGTCTCGCATAGTCCTCCCACCCGAACTGTATCCCGGCTCGGCCACCAGCGCGGCACCCGCGGCGGCGTCGAGAGTTGCCGTTGGGAGTAGCGCGCTGCGCCCGTGGTGTTTTCAAGGTCATGAGATCGTTCAGGCCGCGGTGCACGGCTCCGACGGTGTGCCACATGCTCTGTTTTGCATGGGTAGTGGCCACAGCGTGCAGCAAATGGTTCAGGCCTGATTCGGGGTTCGCCAGAAATTGTAAGGGTCGCCAAACTATTTAAGGGTGATCGATATTTGAATCGGCTCGAGCCGGTCGCCACTCCGTCTGTGGAGGTCCGAGCGCAGGGAGCGGGGAAGCGGAGAGTTCTGAGGGCTGGCGAGGGCGAGAGGGCATTCTGGGGGAGCTGGTGGCCCGCACCTGCCCGGGGCCACACTTCTGGAGCCAGTGCTTCACAAGCACCGTCTGTTTGTTCTTCGCAGCGGCGCAGGCCCGGGCCTCGCGTGCGGACTCGCCTGTCGCAAGCTCGCTCCGCGCGGCCCCGGGTCTGCCCGGTCCTCACCGGGGACACCGCGGGTGCCTTCTGTGACCTGTCGGCGCCTGCGGCGATCCCCGCCCAGACTTTTCAGGATCCCTCCACAAGACGACTCTTCCTCCATCCCTCCCTCGCTCCCTTCGTCTCGCCCCCCCTCCTCCCTCTCCAGCCTCACGGTTTCTCAACTGCGCGCGGCCAGAGAAAAAAGATGTTGTATTAGAGCGCGCCAGCAACACTCCAGTCGAGAAAAGGAGGCGTGGCACGTCTGTTTGCGTCGGCTATGTTACCAGTCGTCCGACTGCAGGGGACGGAGACGCTTGGAAGCTTGTAGTGCATAATCCGACCTCGTGTGGCGACATGCTGATGTATTGCTGCTCTTGCTGATGCATCGTCGGGGAAACGTAAGACTCGTGTAGGCCAGAGATCGGGTTTGCCGACGCTTTTTTGTCGAGCGCGTCTTGGATTTGACAGTCTATTTCTCGTGGGTTGTTTGCAGCGGAAGCTCGCGTCAAATTTCAGATTGGGTTTCATGATTTTCATGATGGTCCAGTCAGGCCAACCCGAGTCCCCCGCACCACGGTCTTACGTCTCCCCGATCTTGATGCGCTTGTCTGGTTTGCCCCTGCTGCTTCCCACGAGGCAGCCGGGCACCACCCACCAAGCCACCCCAACCCAACCCGAAGGCACCACTTTGCCCTCCATTTCCAGTGGGGTGGGGGGGGGGCGACTGGGAACCTGAACAAAAACACACGTGGACCCATGACCCCCCCCAACCCGAATTTTGGGTCTTCGGGTTAGGCTGGTGTGGTCTGGTAGGCAGTCAGGCGGCGTTCTCGCCTGTAGGAGGGCTGCCTCACCGCCACGGCCGGACGCTGCTCTCAGAACTTGTCCGAGGGACGACCTGGAGAGAATCGAAGACATCTGGCGCGAGCAAGGGATTCTGCAGATCCAGGCGTCGCGAAACCGTCACGGCCGGCTTCTCCGCCCCGATCTCGGGCCACGAGACCCCCACGGATCGGTTCTGGCTGGAAAGACTAGCCCTCTACAGAGAGGCCGAGAGAGTTCTGTGCGGGCAAGATGTGCGTCCAAATCCGTCGCAGTTTGGTGTTTTGGGGCTCACTTCCCCAGAAGCCCGAGGCGCACTGGAAATGGAAAACAGGCTGGCCCCAAGAGGCTCGATTTTACCCAGATCCAGTGCGCCTCGGCCTTGCGGCGCCCCTTCAAGAAAGTGCAAGACGCACTGGATCGGAGGTTGGGGGGTGAGATCGGAGTGGAACGGGGAGCCCCCCACCAGGAAATCGGTGGTTTCTGCTGCGGGTCCGTGTCGTGCGGGCGGGCGAGGCGAAGCTGCGTGGGCGGGCGAGAGGACTGTCTTCCCTGTGGCTGGAGCGGGGCAGGACAGACAACCGCCCCTCCGGTGGCCCGGCGTGGCCGGGGTTGTCCCGCCGTGGTGTCCCGCCGTGGTGTCCCGTCGATGCCCCGTCGGTGCCCGCGGCCGTGGCCAGGAGTGTCCCGCCGTGGTGTCCCGTCGGTGTCCTCTGGGTGTCCTGTCGCTGTTCCGTTTGTGTCCCGCCGTGGTGTCCGTCGGTGTCCCGTTGGTGCCCTGTCGGTGTCACGTCGGTGTCCCGATTGGTGCCCTTTTGGTGTCCTGGTGGTTGTTCGATGGCGCCCTCGACGGTGTGTTTCTAATGGTGTTTCCATGCTATGATTGTGGCCCGATCCTGCCCAAATGGTTTCCAGTGAAATCCATAGTGCGATCGATAGTGACATCGATTGTGAGATCGATAGTGATAGTACGATCGATAGAGTCAGATCGGTAAAGGGAGATCGATAGAGTTGGATTGATAGAGTGAGATCGATAGTGAGATCGGTGGTCAGTCCGTCGTACAAGTATGGATATCGGAGGTTTTGGGGGTGAGACCAAAGTGGAACGGAGAGCCCCCCACCGTTTTCGGTTCGTGTTCGTGTCGTGCGTGCGAGCGAGGCGAAGCTGCGGCGTGGGCATTTCTCCGCTGTGGCTGTGGCGTGGTCAAGTCAAAAGACAGCCCCTCCGGTGGGCCGGCGTGGCCGGGGGTGTCCCACCGTGGTGTCCCGCCATAGTGTCCCGTCGGTGTCCCGTCGGTGCCCGCGGCCGAAGCCTGGGGTGTCACGCCGTGGTGTCCCGTCGCTGTCCCGTGGTGCCCCGTCGGTGTCCCGTAGTGAGATCGATACTGAGATCGATAGTGAGAGAGACCGATTGCGAGATCGACAGTGCGGTCGATGGTGAGATTGATATTGGGATCGATAGTGGGATCGATAGTGATTTCGATAGTAAGATCGATATTGACATTGATAACCCGAGTAAGCGATTAAGGACCCCCCCCCCCCCTCTCCGGTGAAAGGATAACGCACCCGGCACCCGGAAGCGTTATCCTGGCACCAGGAGGGGGTACACCAGATCGCACGGGTCCCACGGAGTCCCGCAGGTCTCGCAGGTCCCACAAGTTTCAAAGTGGTTCCCGTGTGAGGTCCCACAGGTCCCACGGGTGTCGCAGGGGAGGGGCTTCTTAATCGCTTCCCACGGTTGACAACGAAAACTCCTCCCTCCTCCTCCCCCTCCCTCCTCCCTCCTCCCTCCCTCCTCCCTACCTCCCTCCTCCCTCCTCCTCCTCCTCCTACCTCCTCCTCCTCCTCCTCCTCCTCCTCCCCCCTCCTCCCTCCAGCTCCCTCCCTCCTCCCTACGACGACGGACGACGGACGACGTCCTCCTTTTCTCAGCTTTTCCTTAGCTTTTCTCAGCTTTTCCTTAGCTTTTCTCAGCTTTTCCTTAGCTTTTCCCAGCTTTTCCCTACCCTTTCCTTTGCTTTTATCAGCTTTTCCTTAGCTTTTCTTAGTTTTTCCTTAGCTGTTCCTTAGCTTTTCTAAGTTTTTCCTTAGCTTTTCTCAGCTTTTCCTTTGCTTTTCTTTGCTTTTCCTGAGCTTTTCTGAGCTTTCCTCAAATTTTACACTGATCCACTCATACTCTGGCTCGGGGATTTATTTTGGGTCCTGCCGGGTGCTAAGATAACGCCTCGGTGCGGGGCGGGGGCGATACCCTGGGATGGACCACCTCCTACGACGGCCGAAAAAAACAAATTTTCCAAAAGGGGTTGCAATACAAATCTCATTGGAAAAATCGGGGCTGGAGGAAGAGAAGGAGGAGGAGGAGGAGGAGGAGGAAGAGGAGGAGGAGGAGGACACGGAGGAGGACGCGCTCACAGACAAGGCTCCCGTTTGAGACTTCCTCCATATTCAGGCCTCAGGATTCCAGACAAGGCTCCCTCCTGAAAGAATAAGGAAACGCATGCGGAGGAGTCAGAAAGCTTCAGTGGCCACGCGTCTTTCCAGTGCTCGACCCTCGCTGTTCGTAAGCTTTTCTTAGCTTTTCGTTAGCTTTTCTTAGCTTTTCCCAGCTTTTCCTTAGCTTTTCTAAGCTTTTCCTTAGCTTTTCTCAGCTTTTCCTTATTCGTATTCGTATTCTTATTCTCATTACAATTCTAATTGGGATGCCACCCGAGGCGGGGCGCTGGAATTATTTATTTTCCTTCCATTTGCGCGGTGCTAATAATATCGCTCGGCGAAAACCCCCCAAAATAATTATTTAATTACGGCGCGGTGCTAATGATAACGCCGGGGGTTCCTTGATTGCTTCTCCGGGTTAGTGAGATCGATAGTGGGACCGATAGTGATATCGATATTGACATCGATAGTGAGATCGGTCGTGGTATCGATCATGAAATGAATTGGATTGTGATATCGATCGTGAGATCGATAGTTACATGTATTGTGATATCGACTGTGAGACAAATAGTGAGATCGGTAGTGAGACCTATAATGAGATCGACAGTGATATTGGTTCAGTGAGACCGATCGTGAGATCGAGAGTGAAATCGATCGAGTGAGACCGATATTGAAACGAGATCGATATTTAGATTGGTAGGGAGATCGACAGTGAGTTTGATTGATATTGAGATCGATTGAGTGAGATGCTGGTTCCTCCCACCCCCAAACCTCCTTATCACTCGGAGGGTGGTCGCGTAGGTAAATATTGCCCGCAGACTAGGTGGGGGGGGGCATCATGGTCGGGCATGTTATCTCCCCAGATATCATGGCCCCCTCTTCCTTATTTCAATACGTCCTTTGGGTCTCCCCATGCGCCACTTACGTGCCTCGGGCATGATTTGCGAATCCCCCTCGTGGACGCTCCCGAGCTTACCGCTTGCCGCGCAGGGTAAAGGTGTGGTCGAGATTCCCAGTCGTGACTGATTCACGACGCTGCGATTCATTCGCGCCTGTTGTTTTCATCTCTCGGGGTCCTCTAAGAGCTGGGGAGGACCAGGCGGAGGTGGGGATATCGTGGCCGGGATCACAAGACCTCCCAGACTTCATGACCCCCTCTTCTTCTCAGGGGCAACGTTAGGGGGAGTAGGCTCAGGGGGGAACGCATGGACCCGAATCGCACACTCATCGCCGATTGGTGCCTGATCGCCCACTCCGAACAGGAACTTGCGGCTTCCCTCTTGGAGGCATATTTTTGCTTTACCCGCGATGTACTCGCCGATTCAATCTTGACGTGCCCTCCACTGAGCAGGTCCCCCCGTGTCGTTCCCGCTCGTCTCCCTCGATGGGCTTCCTGGCCTCCCACCCTCACTCGTCCGCGCACGCGCCTCGGGCCATGGAGCGCGGACGAGGAGGGGCAGCGAGGACGATGAAGATCCGAGGGTGGGGCCGGTGCATCACCACCGTCCGGGGGATCGTTCGTCGGGCGCCCTGGCAGGCGGTGGAGATGGACAGATTCGGGCCCTGTTGGGGGGCAGCCACATCTATAGATCGAAGATCGAAGATCGATGCCACAGGCGGTGGTGACGGATGTGTCATGTATCCCCGCTCCGCAGAAAAAGGCGTGGTCGAGGCTGAACATGGCGAGGGTCGAGGGCGAGAAGGGAGAGGAGCAGGATTAGGTTCGTAGGGGAGGAGCATGATGTGGTCGTGGTCGATGCGGGTGACGAGGAATAGGATGGGCGAGGCCGATGAAGAGGACTTGGGCTTGGCTTGCGCTCCGCACGGGATGCATCCAGCGACCGGGCCGCCAGACGACGATGGGGGCCCGCGAGAGCAGACGTTGGGCCAAGACTGACCACCGACGTCGAGGAGAAGTAGGGGGAGGATGAGTGTGGGGCGCGAAGGGGAGGACCTTGAGATCCTGGCGTTGCGTTTTTGTTCACAGCGGGCGTTTTCGCCCAGGCCTGCCCAGGGACCGCTGAGACAGCAACAGGCACTAATAGGTACAGGTCGGGCGAGGAACAGAGCCAATGCCAGCGCCGACTCAGACACCTGCTGGATCCACGCCCCATCGGCTGCGCATGTGGATGCCCTGGGCGTGACGCTTCGCGATGCTGTGGTTTTTTTTTTTCGCGACGTCGGATCTCGGGGAGGCGGGCGGAAGGGGGCCGTGGCCACAGAGGCGGCCCGGGTGCACGCCCTCGTCGTAGTGCGTCCGCGCACGGCCACAGCGGGGCCCTTCGTGGGGGTTGTCACCCAAGACCCCCCTGCAGGGACCACGAGCTGCAGTCGGACGGAGGCATCAGATCAAGGCTGGTTCGGGAGGGTACCCCAATGTTCTTCGTGTTCGTTGGACGTTCTCGTGCACCCTGGGGAAAGTACCCTTGGATGTTCTGTTTGTTTTGGCCGTCGGAGGGGCTCATGTTCTTGAGGGAGGTTCTTCTGGCCTAGGTCCGACTGTACGTGGACCACGAGATAGGGGGCACTTTCTTTATTTTTCATTCTTCCCCCCTCCCGACGGCGACGTCCGCCAGGGGGCGTTAGGCAGCACCGTTTTCGGATCCGCAGCAGGAGGACAAGGCGGGAGGGAGGGGGAGAATGACGAGGTTGAGAAGGATGGCGAGGAGGACGAGGAGGAGGAGCAGAATGGTGGCTGGCGAACGAGCTCCCGAGGCGACCGCGGGGACGGCGATCACCACTGCGAGCCGTACGATTTCCTGATGCACGGCGAGAGTAAGGCCATCGGGCATCCGCCGTCGTCGTCGCCGCCCATCCATTATCCGAAGCCGTGGGCGACGACGGACATAGCTTGGCCTTTGGACCGCGGGAGGGAGGACAGGATGAAGCGCAGCCAATATGACCGCCCGGGCACTCAATGTAACCACCCAAGCGCGGTGCTTTAGTTCAGATCATGGATTGCATTGCCACGTTGGCTTCGCTTCAAGGGATAGTGAACAAAGAAGAAAAAGCCTTGGACCCAGAGCGGCGGGCAGATCTCAGTGAGCGCTGGCCGAACCACCGATCTCTGACCCCAGACATCCCGCCGCTCCAGTTTTTTCGATGCGTGGCCCCAGCGGCGTGGACCACTTCCCTAAAGGGCTGGATTTCGTCCCGAGTCGTTTTTTGACGGTCCCGACGCCCGGCGAGGGCCCCGGGAGTCCGAAAACAGCCAACAACTGGCCGGACTTCAAATTTGGGCCAGGACGCCCTTCCCGCATGCCGCATGCGAGTCTCCAGAGACCTCGACCTCAGGGTAAGCAGAGTCATGGACGAGCCTCGCAGTCCGCCGCCGTCTTTCTCGCCGACATGGATCGTCAGGAGAGCGTGCGCATTGTCGCCGCGGGCAGGCTCCTTAGCGCTTTCGGCGTCCAGAGAGGCCTGCTTCGGGCCGCGGCACCGTCGCGATTGGAGTTGGGATTCAGAGTAGGGAGAGGTACCCATACCGCTACCCTTGCCTCGTTTTCGTCTTTCCGGGGCATCCTGGGAGGCCCTCGTCGCCAGACCACGAGCCTATTTGGACCAGCTCAAGCATACAAGTCTTCCTTGGAAGATGTTTCAGAGGCAACGATAAGGGGGGGATAGGCATATGGGGGGATGCATCGACCCCCAATCGCCCATTGATCGCCGATTGGGGCCCGATAGCCCCAACCCGCCCAGGAAGGTGCGGACACACTTTCGGGAGCCTATCGCCGATCTATCGGCGGTGCATCGCCGATTCCAGGTCGTTGCATCCCCCTCTTTGCTAGTCCCGCCCTATCGTTGCCCCTCATTGTTTGTCGCGCTGGGAAAAGAGAGACTCGTTCCAGAGCGCTTCCAGAAAGCTCTCAGAGCGTTCCCGAGCGCTCCAGAGAAGCCGTGGCGTTACCCCGTTTTCGGGGCCGTTTTTGTCGCTCTGTTGGCTTCGTCTTAGCTTCGGGGGCGGCCAAGATGGGGGTGATGACTAGGGGAGGCTGGATCTCATGGCGGGGGTCATGATATCTTCCAGATTTCATGGCGCTTCTTCTTATTTCAATAGGTCCCCTGCCCCCCCTTGGGCCGCGCACATGGACGCCCCCCTCTTGGCCGCCCCCGATAGCTCCGGGGCCGGCTGTTCAAAAAGATCGAGGCGTCGTGGGTCCCGATGCGCCTCGGCGCTCATCTCGCTGGAAGTCCCTCCGGATCCCCGAATCCCCCCGTCAGTTCAAGAGATGTCAGGCCATTCAGAGAAGGAAGGAAGGGGAACCGTGGGATACACCCAACAGGGGGGGGGGGCATCCGGGAACACTCCCCATCGAGGATGGGCGCCCCCCCACCGCAGATCCCCGATTCGTGGTCCAGCCGGCAACTCACCGAGGCAGGGTTGGGGTCGCGATACAGTGCATTGACAACATGTTGCACCACGTAGAGCTTGCGACGTTGGGCGTAGGCATCAAGGGCTCTCATCCCACCTCCGTCGTCGTCGTCGTCGTCGTCGTCGTCGTCGTTGTCAACGGCAACTGGAGGGGGCCGAGGACTCCCCAGCGAAGTCTCTAGAGGAGGGTCCAACGAAACCTTACACACCTCCTCTACTTTCCATTCTGGCGTCAATTGCCACCCACGCGATGTTCCTCCTCTTCCTCGTCGCCCCTTGTGATCCTCCTGCTGCCTGTTCCTCGGCTCGCTCACGGGTTGGGGACACAGACGAGTCTTAAGATCCCTTTTGTTGCGCACGTTGTGCTAAAAGAGACTCCCGATCCTAACTGAGGCGGATGCCGTGGGTGCGCATTCAACAGACGCGCTCGCATCCAAGAAGCTCTGGCAGGGAAGTGCGTTGCGACACGTTCAGGGTATTACTGCTCGGCGGGAGCGGGCGTTAACCTCCGTCAGTTTCCCATGTGTGTCGTTTCTCGCCGGGATTCCTCCTCTTCGTCTTCCTGCACGTCGCGGCAGGTCTCGGCATGGTCGGGCGGCCCGACAGGGATGGAGTCGGGTCCTTCTCTTGATACGTGGTCGCTCCCGGCGCCTAGAGGCGCCTAGAAACCGAGCTACACCAGTTTCACAACCCTTTGCTGACCAAACCGTTGTGACCGCCCCCCCGCTAGCGCAGGAACCCTGCGTCGTGGTGCAGCCGTATAGGCATCCACCATCGTATAACCACACCTCTGCGCAGTTCCGCAGGCAGTCGCAGCCGCGGCCGTCGCCGTCGTCCCCGTGATCGTCGTCGACGTCGTCGTCACTGCCGTCGCCGCCGCTGTCGTTGCCACGGGGGCGGAACAGAGGGCCACGGCGCCGTGGCCGTGGCCCTCTGTTCCGCCCCCGTGGCCGCTGTCGCCCCCCCGTCCGACCACCGCCGCCGCGGTCCCCCTCCGCCCCGCTTGGCATCGCACACACGAAATCGAACCATGCAAGGGGAGTGGACGTCCGAGCGATGCCGAGCCCCGCCGCAGTCCCTGTTCATCTTCACCGCGAAGGCCAAGGGCAGGACCGCGGTGGCCAGGTGCGGGGAGTCCAGCGGGGAGCAGGAGCCCCACGCACATGGGGAGAGGCCTTTGGATAGGGAAACAAGCAACGACATAAACATTAAGACTCGGAGGTCCGCGCGGATTTCTCGGATCGGCGCTGGATCCCCCTCCCTGGCGCGCGGAGCGCGCCAGGGGCGGCGCCGGAGGCGCCGCCAGGTCCAGGGCGGATCCGAGAAATCTACGCGGACCGTCGAGTTTTAATGTTCACGTCGTTGTTCGTTCCCCGATTGGAGGTAAGGGGAGGCTCGGAGGAGGAAGAAGTTATGATGATGATGACACGCTCCGGGATCTGTCCCCCGATGGGCTCAACGTGGCCCGGAGGAGCCGCCCAACGCGGCCCGAGGGCGCCCGAGAAGCGTTCCCGTTGGGACCCCACCACCACCACCACCACCACCACCACCACCACCACCACCACCACCACCACCACCACAGAGCCACGCATCCGGAAGGACGCGTGGGCAGAAGAGCGCGCGATTGGCAACCTTTCGTGAATTGCAAGGTGAAAATCGGAAAAAAAATGCCTCACGACTGTGAAGCAGGAAATAAGGGCGCCCGACTGCGAAGCAGAAGATGGGGCTCAACGTGTCCCAGGAGCCGTCCAACGCGGCCCAAGGGCGCCCGGAAAGCGTTCCCGTTCTGCCTTCGGCGTGTTCCAGACAGTCCAAATTGTTCCTTGTGCACTCCAGAAACGAGGGCCGCAAGATGCTCCAGATATCCTGAAAGGTGTCATGAGCCAGTCGCTTCAGAACATCGGTTCCGTCCTCGAGAAGGCGTGAGCTTAATTCAGCTCTCGGAGGTCGCGCGGATTCCTCCGGTTGGCGCTGGAACCTCTGGAGGCGCCGGGTACAACGCCAGTGCGGATGCCGATGGATGAGCAAAAAACGGCACAGCAGGAAACGGCACGGTGATCATCGAAACGCCCGAAACTACATAGGCACAGATTGCCGGAGGCCCGCGTGGATTTCCTCGATCTGCGCTCGGCCCCCAGCGTCGCTGCTGGCCAGGCAGAGGGGTCATGCGCCGTGCGGAGAACTCAGCGCAGAGGTCCGAACGTTTGCGTCCGTGCAGTTTCCCGTTGTGTGGACGCTCGGACCCTGGGGGGACCTTCCTGGGGTCGGCCGAGGTGCGAGGCATATTCATAACTGATGTGGGAAAATCCATTGGGTTTCCAACAGGGCCCGATACCTCAGAGGTCCTTCCACGGGCCCTCTCCTGGCGTTCCTTATGCGTCTGATCGCCGTTGTTCCCCCAGGAGGGGTCGTTCCTCATCCGATGTGCCTCATGGCAAGACTTCGACAGCATGTGGGCATCACTACCTCTTTGTCCTTATGTGTCCTCCCTGCCTCCCCCAGTGTGTCTACCCTTTGTACTTTACGATGCATGTTGAATTTTGCAGCAGTAGCCTCGCTCCATCCTTCCCCGCGGGTGGATCCAGGTTCGGGGTTGGGTTTGGGGTTTCCCCCCCGCTCCACTCACTCTCTCTCCGCTTCGTGCCGCTGCAGCTGCTAGGACGGAGGAAGGGAAGGAAGTGCGCCCGCCGCAGCATGCACTGCTCGGGGAGGCGTTGAGGTGAGAAGCGTGCGCCCGAGGCCCACGCCGCCCGTCGTCATCGTCGCAGTCGACTGCCCACGGAAACGCTTGCGAAAATTCGTCGCCACGGGCAGACGTTGGTCCGAGACGTTGCCGTGGAGCCCGGCCGCTCTCCTGTAGGCGAGCCAGGGCCTCGCCTCTCTGTGGAGGGGATTCCGGCTCCAGGGCCGAAGCTCCCCCAGACGCACTCCTCCCCCCCCCTTCCCTTCCTTCCAGTGTCTCCCCTTCCTGCTTCACCCTCCCTCTCTGCTCCCCATCCCTCCTCCCGCCCCCTTCGTCTCCTCTTCTCGCACCCCGCCTCTCCTTCAGCCAGGCATTGAGATGCAGCAGGCAGAAAGGATAAAGCCGGAACAAAGCTGGTCGCACTTGCTCGTGAGAAGTTCGCGCAGCAGAGGACCTTCCCACCTTCCTGCCTCCCCCCCCACCCCCCTCCCGCACACGGATTCAGCGCAGCGCGTTTCTTGGCCCGGGCAGTCCAGTCAGCAGCGCTATTTTCATCCTCCCCCTCTTTTTGTTGCCCCTTCCCTCTCCCCCCCTCTAGAACCCCCCTCCCTTGTTCTTGCCTGTCCTTCCTCACGCTCCTCCCCGATTCTCCCTTCTCTCACATCCCTCCGTCCTCCCCCCGGCCTCATCCTCCGCATCCCCCCTTCTCATCATCCGTCTATTCCTTGCTGCGTCCTGACTCCTCCTCCGATTCGTTTTTTCTTTGTTGTGCAGAAGAAGTTTTTGCTTGGGCGGATGGGGTGTCTTCGTGTTTGGTCGAAGGCGCCCGTGAGATGTGACCTTCGCACCATAGTTCCTCCCTTTTCTCTGACCCTGATCCCGCCCTCCCCGTCCTCCCCATTTCCTCCTTCCTCCCCCTCTGTCTGAGAACCAGATGTCCCAGGCGATGACTATTCCTACACATTCGTTTACAACAGTAGGATACATTAATCAACACGGACAGTCGCACCTCCTCATTGCGGTGACGGCCATTACGAAGACGTCCCTTCCGCCCCCCTGCTGGCTTATGCTGCACTCCATTCGTTTTGTTATGCTCGTCTCTCTCTTCTTCATTCTCCTCCTCCTCCTCCTCCTCCTCCACCTCCTGTCCATTCCTTCCCCTCCCTCCTTCCGTTCCTGCCTCCTCGCTATGGCTTCAGATGTTTCAGGGGTTCTTGGGGGATTCTAAGAGGCTCAAGGGTTTCCACGTATTCTGAGGAGTCATGCTGCTCCCGCTGCTGGTATGGTTCACGCTTCCGTTCCCGTTCGTTACCCCTTCCTCTCGTCCTGCTCACGTTCTCGCTCTCGCTCGTGATTTTGCTCCTTCTCTTGCAGTTCCTCCCCTCGTCGTTGTCCTCCTCCTGCCCCTCCTCTTCCTCCTCCTAGAGTTGTTTTCTGGGCCCATGGGGGTCGCGCCTGTTTTGACATTTACCATGTACAATTTCACTGAGGGGTTCAGCAAGTCTATGTTTCTTCTGAGTTCTGATGGGCGGGATCAGAAGAAGTAGTGTCAATCAAATAGCTCCGCTCCATTTTCACTGTTGCGGTCAGCCCAGACCGCGCGGCTAAAATCTAAGCTGTCCGGTTGCCGAGATCTCATCTTCGCAGCTTGATCGCCCCCGCAAGGGGGCCAGCTGGATGTAGGGTTTCTGGGGGGAAGTTTGACGCCACGGTTGGATCTGCCAAGAAATGTTGGTCCCGTTTGGACATACGTATTATACATTGTTCTTGCGCCGCTTGGGTCAAGCGTCAAGCAATTTCACGGTTGTCCTCGACTAGGTTTGGTTGTGCCTCTCTCAACAGAGAACATTTCGTCAGGTTCAGTCTGTTTTCTCATACTTTTGTTTTCGAGCCCGTCTTGATTGCACGCCACCAGTCAACATTTGTCGTTTCTACGTATTGCGGCGTCGTTGTTGTTCTCGGCTCTGTGTGGCAGTTGTGATCTGTGTTTGTTCCAGATGTTTGGTTGGAGCGTTGTGCCCACCCATATGAGAGTGGCTGGGAGAACGATGGCAGCGAACATTGACCAAGCAGCAACGCTTCAGCAAGACGATTCCGTTTTTAGATATTACACATTCCGCATATGAATTGCACATCCTCGCGTTGAGGCAACGAACGTGGGTTGTGGTTGCATCTAAATTTGCTTCAATTCCCCTCGTCGCAGCCGTCGTTCTCGCTCAGGAGCCCTTGAAGATCCAGGACTTCAGTTGCTTGAAGCCGGTTAAATGCAAGGACATCCAGGACACGGCGTTCGGCGCAGGTACAGTCTCCAGGTTTCGAGCAGAAGGGCCGTGCACGCCATCCGTCGGAACAAAGTGTGTGTGTGTGTGTGTGTGCGTGTGCGTGTGTGTGTGTGTGTGTGTGTGCGTGTGTGTGTATGTATGTGTTTGTGTGTGTGGGTTTGTCTGTACGTGCGTGCGTGCGTGTGTGCGTGTGTGTGTGTGTGTTTGCGTGTGTCTGTGTGTGCTGTGTGTGTGTGTCGTTGTGTGTGCGTGTGTGGATCCCCGCCTCCTCTTGCTTCTCGTCCTCGCAGTCTTCCTCATTAGCCTTCTTCCGTACCCATCATACTTCGGGTGGGAGATCGACTAACAAATTAATATGTCCCACAAATATGTTTGTCATCGAATCCATAACCGTATATATATATGATACTCTACAAACCATCTACCTAGTCAGCATCGATTCGACAGTTTAGGGATCCATCAATTCTGAAGTTGATCTCCACCTCTCCCATCTCCCTCGCCCTCGTCGCCCCACCTCCTCGTCCCCACCTCGTCCCCACCGTGCCCACCTCCTTGCCCCGCCTCGCCCACCTCCCCGCCCTCCCCGCCCACCTCCTCGCCCCCACCTTCGCCGATGCCGCGCGGTCCGCACCTGTTGCCGGTCGCCGTCGCCGTCGTCGGGGTCGTCGTCGGCGTCGTGGTCGGCGTCGGCGTCGTCGTCGTCGGCGTCGTCGTCAGCATCGTCGGGCACTGGCGAAGCTGCCGTGCCCGGGGGCTCGCGGCGGCGGCCGAGGCGCTGTTTGAGGAGGCGAGGGCGAGACGGCCGGCGGCTGCGTGGGCGGTGGCCTCCTCCTCCTCCTCCTCCTCCTCCTCCTCCTCCTCCTCCTCCTCCTCCTCCTCCTCCTCCTCCACAATTACTCAATATGAATACTACTCTCCCTCTTCCCCTGATGACGGCCTGGGAGTGTCCGACCCCCCCCCCCGCGTATTGTTTTTTACACAGGTTTCCCCGGAGTTGGGTTTTCGCCTGCATTTTTGTTTTCAAAATGCTGCTCTCGCTGAGGCGCCGGCCTCATTTTCGGGCCCCGCTCGTTCCGAATCGTGCTCCCGCTGCAGCGCTGGCCTCATTTCCGTGCTTCCGCTCGTTCCGAATCGTGCTCCCGCTGCAGCGCTGGCCTCATTTCCGCGCTTCCGCTCGTTTCGACTCCTGCTCCCGCTGCAGCGCTGGCGTCATTTCCCGTGCCATGCCACGGCATGCACTGCAATGCTAGGTTGATACTACGCTTTGCGGTGCTCTTCTACGCCATGCCATGCCGTGCTCTACAATGCATCGCGTACCCATCATTGCCCTGCTCGACATCCGACTGAGCGAGTAGAGAGGGGATCTGCGCCATGGTAAGGGATGGGAGGGAGGGGTAGGATGTCAGCTCCTCCTTCTCCTCCTCCTCCTCCTCCTCCTCCTCCTCCTCCTCCTCCCTCCTCCTCCTCCTCCTCCTCCTCCTCCCCCTCCCCCTCCTCCTCCTCTCCTCCTCCTCCTCCTCCTCCTCCTCCTCCTCCTCCTCCCTCCTCCCTCCTCCTCCTCCTTCTCCTCCTCCTCCTCCTCCTCCCCCCTGCTGCTGCGCACCGCTGTGCGGAAGCGTTCCCTGCCCGCGCCGGCGCCGCGCTCCGCCCGCGGCAGGCGGGCTGGCGCTCGCCCGGAGGGCGGGGGGCCTCCTGGTAGCCACCGGGAGGCCTGCAGTTTCCCGTTTCCGCATCGTCGACCGACTTCCCTCCCGGCAGGACCAGCTGACTTTTCGCCCGCCCCCCTCCCGGCAGGACCAGGCCTCTTGCGCCTCCAGCCGCGACTGGCGCGAGAACGCCACGGCGCTCGGCGGCAACGGCTCCTCCCGCGGCGCCAGCGAGAGCCCGTGCGCGCGGCGCTCGGACGGGCGCGCGGCCTTCGTCGGTGTCGGCGCCGCCGTCGTCGCCGCCGTCGCCTCTCTGGAACTTGGCGTCTCTCGGCCGCGTGCCTGTTTTCCTCGGCGAGGACCATCGATAGGGGAACGAACAATGACATAAACATGAAAACTCGGAGGTCCGCTCGGATTTCTCGGATCGGCGTTGGGGCCCCCTGGCGCGCTCTGCGCGCCAGGGAGGGTGGTCCAGCGCGGATCCAAGAAATCCTCACGGACCTCCGAGTTTCGATGTTGATGTCATTCTTCGTTCCCCCGAACGTTTTCCTCGGCGAGGATAGTCGAGGAGCACTTTGGGTCAGCTTGCGGAAAAATGCACGCGCGAGACCGAGAAAGGCACGGGGACTGGACGCCCGAGCGATGGCGAGTCTCCTGAAGGGGGTGCCGACCTGCCGCTGCCCAGCTGGCCCCTCCTTGTTCCTGTTTTTCCGGGGGCCCTCCTCCGCCTCCTCCTCCTCCTCCGCCTCCTCCTCCTCCTCTTCCTCCTCCTCCTCCTCCTCCTCCTTCGTCGCCAAGGCTGGACTCTCTCTGAGACGCTGGTCGGAACGCGCCCCGGGACAGGTCCAGGGTGGCGGGTGGCGGCACCGGCGCCCGCCCCTTCGGCCGCCAGTCGAGACCACGGCGGCGCTCCGGGCCTCCCCCCGGGACTTCTCGTCGCCACGGCTGGGCCCGTTTCGAGAAGCGGGCCAGGATGGACTTCGGACGGGGCCCCGGGACCGACGTGGAGTGGATCTGGGCCGGGCGGGCACGGAAAGGGCTGCGGGGAAGGTGGGCAGCAGGTCCTGTCTCTTCAGGGCAGGGGCTCGCCGTCCGCGTCGCCGCGGGGGTGGCAGTGGAGTGCCCCTTCCCCAGGCGGCGCTTGCATCAAGTCGGGCCTGTCCCCCTACAGGGGGGATTTTCGACGAAAAATAGGAAATACCCTAAAAATAGGCAATAAATAGTCCAAAGATAGTCTGGGGATTATTTTTTTATTATTTTTTGATCATTTTGGTGTATTCTTGGGGTATTATTTTCTTTTCGTCGAAAATCCCTCTGTAGGGGGACACGTCAGACATAACGCTTGCACCTGGGTGTGGCCCTCACTTCCCTGAGAAGCTGGGCCCGTTCGCGGCCCGTGGGCCCAGCGGCGCCGTTCCTGGCCGTCGCCGCCGCCCCGAATGCACCCCCCTCCGCTGCAGAGCAGTCGCAGTGGGTGGCAGTCGCACTGCGTGGCAATCGCATTGCGTTGCGTTGCGTGGCGTTGGCGTTGCGTTGCACGCGAGTTGCATTGTAATTGCATTGCACTGCGTTGCCACCGCACTGCGCTGCATGGCTTTGTCTTGCTTCGCGTGGCTTTGCATTTTGAGTGGCCTCGCCGGGCATGATTCTGCTGGCTTTGCAATGCTTTGCATGGCCTTGCGTTATTGTGGGGTTATTAGCATTTGTTTGTCTTGCTGTGCATGACGTTTCATTTCTTTGCTTTGCGTTTGTTTGCCTTGTGTTACATTGACTTGCATTGCTTTCCACCGTATTACTTTGTTATGTGCTGCGGTGCATTGTTTTCATTGATTTGCATTATGTTTGCGTTGTTTTGCATTTCTTTGCTCTGCTTCTCGTGGCTCTGCGCCACATTGCTTGCACCACCCACCCAAGTTACACCACATTGGGAGCACCACCTCGATATGCACCGAGTAGATACGCTTGCTAACCTTGTGGTAAAGGTTGGGCATTTGAGAGTTTCCATGTGTGTAAATATATTTCTAGTCGCCGTCGTCGTCATCGTCGTCGTCGTCGTCCCCTGCCCCTTCTCATCTTCTTTTGTTTTGGATCCGTCCATCGTGTCCTTGTGCGGCGTCTTGGCGGCTGTCGGGCTCCATCGACGGTTTTTTCCCCATATCCAAAGGATGGGGATCTTGTTATTCTCCGACCGCGCCAGACCACCCATACCATGATGATGACCATGGTATAGTGAGAGTCTGATGTGAGTATGATGGTGATGGTGAATGATGATGATGATGACGACGACGACGACGACGATGACGATGACGATGATGCTGATGATGCTGATGATGATGATGATGTTGGTGTGATGATGGTGGTGGTGGTGATGGTGATAGTGATGATGATGATGCTGATGATGATGGTAATGATTAGGATGATGAGATGATGATGATGATGATGATGATGATGATGATGATGATGATGATGATGATGATGATGATGATGCCGATGAGCAGATGAGGAGGATGTCTCTAGCGGCTTGCTGGTGTTAGCACTCCTAAGGGGGGGCCGCCAGGGGTATTGCACGGCCTCCGTTCGCGCCAAAACGGTGGGATGTCTCAGGCGATTTGCTTGTTTTGGTCCGCAACATCTTTTGAGGATGTCTCGTGCGAGGTTCCTCCAAAGGGGGGGGGGGGCGCCAGGGGTATTGCACGGCCTCCTTTCGCGCCCAAATGGCATGGAGATCTCAGGCGGTTTGCCTGTTTTGGTCCCCAACATCCTCCGCTTTCGGAGCAGATTTGGAGGATGTCTCGAACGAGGCGTTCATTTTCACCCCCAAGGTGGGCCAGAGTTTGAGGATGTCTCGATCGGTTTGCCTGTTTTGGTGGCCAGACTCGTGGGCACAGATTCTCTTCAGGATGTCACAGGAGGCTCCAACAGGCTCCAGGAGGCCCCAGGAGGCCACATGAGGTCCCAGGAGGCATCAGTTGGCCACACAAAGACTCAAGAGACCACAGGATGTCCCAAGAGGCTCCAGGAGGCCCCAGGAAGCTCCAGGAGGCCTCAGGAAGCCACAGGGGGGCCCCACGAGGCCACAGGAAGCGCCAGGATGCCTCGGAAGGCAACAGGAGGCCCCGAGAGGCCCCAGGAGCAGGAGGCCTCGGAAGGCATCAGGAGTGGCTCCAATCCCATGTGCTTGACGTATGCTCCTATATATTGGGCCGCACCTGGAGAACGAATCGTTGATGCTATACGTATGTGTCTATATATTGTCCTTCTCCTGTGTGCACAATCCTAAATGTTTACTTACGTTCCTA